CACCCTCATCAACAATAAGAGGTAGAGCTAGAACAGAAAAGAACTGTTGAATTACGTATGCTCTGGACCCAGTTTCTGTTTACTCCAATGGGTAATTAAGCGAGTGTAGCAGATCTTTAAGCAATTTAAGGCATGTAGACCTTGCTCCATCCAGTTCCAATTTAAGGCATGTAGACCTAGCTCCATCCAGTTCCTACAATAGTGTACATTCAGCCTACAACACCGTCGACTGAAAACAAGTGCAAACTCCAACAACAGCAACATTTCTGGGAGCACAAGTAAGAGTTCAGCTTATTCGGAAAAAAAAATCTGCATTTCAAACATGCCAAAACCAACAGTAAAGTGCCATCTTGGTTTTTCCAGTACCTGGTGGACCCCATATACACTTCACACGCCCACATCTTACAGCTGAGATGACAGATTCAATAGCATCCTCGCCCAATAATTTCCGGATGTCTCTGCGAAAGAAGCCAAACAGACTCCATCCTGTTTAACACAGATACCACAAACATCCTCACCCTGCAACAGAGCCAACAAAGAGGAGCTCAAAAGGTCAGGTCACATACTAATTTATAATGGTAATGAAAATAGCAAGTAAAACTAAAACACGAATATTCATGTCATATTACCAGATTTGTGGGGGCTAAGAGGGACTTGATTAGTGTGAAATTGTCATTCATGTGTGTTTTGCAGGTAAGTGCTTTCCATATCCGTACGTTTATTGTGATATTGAGAAATATTGCATGTTCGAGTTTGTTTAAGTCTTCGTCCAGACCAATATTCTTTGCAACTTTGACTATGAAGCCATTCTGGTATTCATCAACCATAGAAACCTCAGTAACTATTGCCAAACAATAATATGTCACACCATGGCGGTTTAAGTCCTCTGCAGCTTCAGGTTTTATGCTAGACAAAACAAATATGTCATCATTCCTCGCAGAATAAGCCCAGTGGAAAAACATCATCATTGCCCCAAAAATCCACATCCATAAAGTATGATCCCGATTTTCCTGTTATCTCCATGGAAAGTATTTTCAACAAGGGTGCTTCACTGATGAGTTCAAGGCATGAGCAAGGGTGCTTCATTGATGAGTTCAAGGCATGACCATAGATCTGACCATGTCTTCAATCAGAGGCACATGGTACAAATACCTCATAGATGTTCCACTGTTATTTTCAACATTACTTTCAGTTGAATATGCGACTCTTGACTTGTAAAAACTCCATCCTCACTGAGCTTTGAGTTGTTACCAGTGCTGGGCATCTCAACATCATTAACAAGAACCTCAGTTGATGGCAGTGACAAAACAATCACTTGGAATTCTTCAGGAATGTCAACAGCAACCCACGTCTCTTGGTCAAGAACTGCCATAGTTTTTGTCATCTTCAAAGGAATATTAAATGTTAAGAGCACAAAAACTGTATAAATCGGGATTCAGCTACAAAATAAGATTGATATCTCTAAAATCAATATCAGAATTCGATTTAACAAACCCTAACATAAAACTTTTTGAAGATGATTCAAGTAATTATGACGATCAGAGACTTCCTAACCCTTTATATCCTTAATTCCACTATCATTTCATCCTCAAGTTCTTTGATTGATGGTGGATAGCACTACTGTCTGGGTAATATTGCTTGCAAAACAGAAGAAAGTAACTGCACTGTAATGAAGTTGGTGTACATCCATAAGGCTATATAATTGAGGGAGAAGCCTGAGGGCTTTATACTCCAGAAATAGCATCATTACTCATTCATGTTTCTGGCAAAATGATGCTGCACTTATTCTATAAGCTGCTGCTTGTAATAACAAAATTTAAAACAAGCTTCTAACTTTGTTCCATGATCCGATTGTAAGACTGTAGATTAAACTTTCATAAACTTCAATAAAACAATATATAACCACCTGAACACTATGCTGATAGTCCACGAATGTTGTAACCTAACCTGCCTCCAATCTATGAGGACAAGAGGTTAAGATAATATCATAACTTGCTTTTATGAAACTAATATGTGTCTGTGCATATTATTTAAACAGAAAATGAATAACCTTTTCTGTACCAGCTATAGATTCTTCTTTTATACTACTTCCGTTCCTAAATATAAGGCGTTTTGACAGATTAAATGGAACCAGCGGGACATCTTAATTTAGAAACAGAGGGTGTATTATGGATGATCAGGAACTCCGTAATCCTCAACTTGGGATGTAGAGCAGCACGAACACCTATCAGCTTAGCCCATTGTCGATGTGCAGCATCACATGCAGCAAAAACTGCTTCTGTGCTTTCTCTCAACATATCAGCTCTGCGGAAAATGCAGATGTTCAAGCAAATCTGTTTTGGCATCATCACACATAATTAACAAATGCAAATAATGAAATACTGGATTTGCTAGAACTGACCACAGCATCACCATGACAAATCAACTTGGTTTTATGGAAGAAAGAACATGTTAGAACTTAACGTACCGAGCATTTTTTTATTGAATTTGTACTGGACATATCAGTTGCTTTTCCTTAAAACAATGGAAGCTTAGTAGTACTGCATGTAACAGTATTGGAGACCCGTGAAGTAACACCGTTGTCATTCCCTTGGGAAAAGTCAACTGATCCACCATGTTGTATGACAGGATTTGTGTCATCAGAACTCATGTTCCCATCAAGGTTTCTCGTGATCCACTGAACTATTTTTTTAACTTCAGCTGCTTGCAGCAGATGTACCTGAATTTACAGGAAAGGAGATGTACATTAAGATTAAATTTGGTAGAATTTTATTGTCCAAAGGAAAACAAAATAATTGTCATATCGAGAAACCAATTTACCAGAACTATCCTAAAAATAGCCGATAACAGTTGAACAAACCCTTCAGATGATAGACTACGCAGCTTATTTGGTAAAGAATGCCCTCCAGCTGCACGATTACAGTTCAAAACAAGTAGGAATTTAGTGTAGAAAGTAGCAAACTATGAAGACATTAAGAAAAAAAGCGTCAGACCATCAGAATTGGCAGCTCTGTCCCCAGTTACTGAATCAGAATCTAGTCATGTAACAGTGGATTTGGTTGAAGCTTCTCTGTAATCGTGAGGCTTCATAACATAAGACCATTATTACATGCTACTCGTCTAAATTTTCTGGAAATTAAGACTGGAAGCATCTACATAACAGTGGATTTGGTTGAAGCTTTCATAACAGTAATAAGGGTATCATGGTATATTCTTAGCACCACGGGAACTTTGTCCTACAATATATAAATATGAACAGTATCATTATGTATCCCCGTAGATTAATAACTCAATGAATACCAAATGTCCAGAAATAAATAAACATGATGCTTCAACCAACTGTTTAAGTTCACAGGTAATTGACCTTTTAAAATATACTGAACTTGATTTTTGTATGCATGAAATTTTAGAGGGTATTTTATTTATAAGGCTCTGTTTGTGAGGTAGTCTCTTATAAGTTAAGACCCCATAAGCCCAGCTTATATGAGTGACAAACTTCTTGAATAATCACAAATATTATTGTGCTAATTGTGTGGCTAAATAGCTCATGCAAATGTGAATTAAGTGCTTCTCTAGAACTTACATCTATATTTCATGTTACACTGAAGTCCCCATTGCTAGCTCTATAACATTCAATGCAATGGAAACCCAGCCACAGGGCACCCCATTTTCTGCATACCCACTCTCCATTTGAATCTCCAAATCAACTTAATGGAAATATCTAACAGAACTAACCGTTCTCAGCAGGCAAATAGTGAGGGGGAGAAGACAGAGGATGAAGCTTTCCCCCTAATCTATGTTTACCTGCATTGAGATAATGAACACCAATCAACAGAAGAAAAGGAGCTGATAATATTTTACTAGAACCACGACAGTGTAGCTTAAAACAAAGCCATAATCTAAACAAAAGTAGCAAGATGAAACACATCAGACCATTGTTAACAACAAATTAGAATTTCACCTTTTGGCAAATTGGAGATCAAAAACTGATTGGAAATGACCATAGTAATCATGGTATATATGATAAGTGGTGTAGTAACAAAGTTTACGATCAAAATCTGGTAATTATTTCAGAAACACATTTTTGTGACATAAGAATCCTATGTTGACACTGGACATACATCAAACACAAAATTCCGGTAACTTATAGTTTACTCGTCAAGAAACTATGTTGCCTGGGTACATCATATGGACGTGACGATACCACAATACATAAAATTCCAAAAACAATGATACAAGGACAGAAATAATATTGTAATGTGATGACGCTACAAAGAAATCAAAATAGCATGGCCCATGCCTTCTTGGCATTGAATTAATTTACGAAGCCAATGAGTGCAGGTACTACTAACTAATCACTCCCTACCAGTTCTTAGCCTTTAGATTTCTCAATCTCACTTCATTCCTCATGTTCAATCAATTTTGGTTAACTACTGTTTTTTTTTAAGTTAGCATGAAAAGTACAAAAAAAAAACTTAGCGTGAATGCATTTTGTTACAACCAGGTAAACAGTAAACTGCAAAATTGGAAGTGCACGTATCTCATGTTCCGTCCCATTGAGGGGAGTGGAAGTCCTTTTCACAGTTTATGGAACCATTGCATCTACAGCTTTTCCATCAGGAACAACAACCCGCACAAACTCTGCTGAAAGAATGCTACAAATATGAATAATAAGTTAAACAATGGGCCAAAAAGGCTGCAAATAGGGAACAAACATAAAGAAAAGAAAATTGCACGATTCTAAGGTTGGTAGCTTCATGTAATGACATTATTGACCATCATTTTCTGGATGACGACAACATACATTTAACAGAAAGAAATATACAAGCTAAATTGTATGGGTATAGCCGTATAGGTGGATCTAGAGTACATTTTCAGCAAAGTCTCGTAACTGGACGTACTGAATTAGGCCAAAAGTCATTAATATCCTTCAAACAACTTACTTTACGCTGGTTAAAGCATATTTGACATTGGAGTATCATTGGAACAGAATCGTTCCATTTGACAATGGCTTGCACAATAATTAAGGAGCAACAAACGTATTTTCACATCAAAGAACTGATTGGAATCCATATGCATGCATATATTGGAAAAGCAACAAAGTGCTTTGGCTCAATGTAGTAAACATGTGACAAAGAAAAACGATGACCCGAGCCTATCCAACTGCTGAGCATATGGATGATTACCAAGGCAGTATTAGACACAAAGGAGATCGCGATCAAATGACTTGGAAGTTGCAGGGAATAGTCCCAACCTAAACACAGAATGGTTCATTAATGAAATATGATTATAGCTAGCAAAAGATTCTCCAACAGATTCTTGAGGACACAAATGGCATGTAATTAATGATATCAGAAAAGCTATCTGGTCAATTTCGTCTACTGCAAGGACAAGCTAGGATTGATACAGAGCTTAAGCTGCTCTCATGCCACAAGGAGGTTTAGCATACTCAAGCATAAACATGATTTTTCACAGCAAAACAATTTACAATTTCTGCCACCAAATTGTGGAACATCGCGACATGTATCTTTCTCACGAGGATACATGACTTACACACCTATCATCTCCCAACAGCCGTTTAAAACTTGCACCACATGTTATAGTAATTTTCTGGAACAATTCACAAATGGTGACATCACTTTCAACAGCAATGGGCACCTCCATCAGTAACATAAGAATCATGTATAACATTCTCTAAAAGAATAAAAGAAAAGGCGTGCATAAAATCTAGTTGGCCCGAATCAGTCACATATGGCACCAACAGCAACATGTAATTTCCTGAAATACAATGTGTCACCGAGCGTGCAACTATTATGTTGTTATCAGACAGTCCAGAAATGGCATTCACATGCCAATTGCACATCTACGACACGTCGACAGATGGACCCTCTAAACCCTAGCGCACGGACCACACACAGACGGAGCACCATCATTTGGAGCATCCAACTGACCCAACTTTGATTGCACATAAAAGGCAGCGAACAAC